TGTATAGTGTAGTATACTAGTACTGCACTAGTGTATAGTGTGGTATACTAGTACTGCACTAGTGTATAGTGTAGTGTATAGTGTAGTGTATAGTGTAGTATACTAGTACAGCACTAGTGTATAGTGTAGTGTATAGTGTAGTATACTAGTACACTAATACAGCACACCGGTTGTGTGTCAGAGAGCCAAGCCACAACATTCACAATCAGAGTTGCGACGTGTCGCCAGCAATCACACCCAAAGAGTGTGAATTCCTGCAGTCACGAAAGCCTCAAATCAAGATGAATTACAGCCAGCTTCGTGCCAGAGGTCGCAAACGGGTTTTGATTCCTTACCCGTACCCGGCCGCACCAGCGTCGCAAACGGGTACCCGTACCCTACCCGTACCCTACCCGTACCCGACCGAGTATGGGTAGGGTACGGGTATCGGGTACCCGATTGCGACCTCTGGGATGAAGCCATGTTGCAGGCGCGGGTGGGTTGATTCTAGAAACTTGAATTGTGAGAAGAGACAAGACGTTGGGAAATGAGTGACAAACGGTGACTCGCCAGTGACTCACGGTCTACCCGTACCCTACCCTACCCTACCCGTACCCGTACCCGGCCGTACCCATACCCTACCCGTACCCGACCGGGTACGGGTAGGGTACGGGTATCGGGTACCTGATTGCGACCTCTGGGATGAAGCCATGTTGCAGGCGCGGGTGGGTTGATTCTAGGAACTTGAATTGTGAGAAGAGACAAGACGTTGGGAAATGAGTGACAAACGGCAACTCACCAGTGACTCACGGCCTACCCGTACCCGGCCGCACCAGGGTCGCAAACGGCTACCCGTACCCGGCTGGGTACGGGTAGCCGGGTATCGGGTACCCGGTTGCGACCTCAGCTTCGTGCCCGCTAGAGGTCGCGAAAGCCTACGTAGTGTTAAACCGACAACGACGCAACACTTTGTCGAGAAGCTATCAACATCATCCGCGACGGGACCAAGGTGTCCTATACTCTCCTGTTCTTTCGGTAAAGTCACGTAGATATGAAACAACATGTCATAGAAGAAAACGCTTGTCGGTGAGGAACACGTCAGGTTTATACTGGTAGGAACCTCCTGGTTACACCAGCCCACAGGGGATTATTGTGTCCGTCGTGCAGGGAGGGGCTGGGTGGGGAGGGGTTGGGTGGGGAGGGTGGGGGAGGGGAGGGTGGGGCTGGGTGGGGCTGGGTGGGGAGTGGAGGGTGGGGAGGGGGAGGGAGGGGCTGGGTGGGGAGGGTGGGGAGGGGCTGGGTGGGGAGGGAGGGGCTGGGTGGGGAGGGTGGGGCTGGGTGGGGAGGGGAGGGTGGGGAGGGGCTGGGTGGGGAGGGAGGGGCTGGGTGGGGAGGGGTGGGGCTGGGTGGGGAGGGGCTGGTCACCCCGTGGTGCCCTTATAAAACTCAACGTTTCACCTACTCACGCCGGCTTGTGCCCGCCCTCACAGTCGGCCATATTTGCGGAATACACCACGCCCTGGCCGTTGACCCTGCAGGCCATTGACCGAGCAACCCAACGTTCCTACCAGCTCCCTCCGCAAGAATGTGTTCGTTGGTTATGTTTTCTTCTACCTACGTGACTTTACCGAAAGAATCAGCAGAGAAGTAATGGGGTTCCTGCAGTAACAAAAGCGTAAAATCTAAATTGAAACATCGGAACCCCAGCCTGCCCGCCCGCCCGCTCGGGCCATTTGGATATGTACAACATCATTCGCGTGGCGTACAAAATTACCAACTTAAAAATTAGCTCGTTGTTATATTTGGTCAAACATTTTCTTCGGTAGCTGGTGTTGATGATGATGTTAGCTGGTGTTGATGATGATGTTAGCTGGTGTTGATGATGATGTTAGCTGGTGTTGATGATGATGTTAGCTGGTGTTGATGATGATGTTAGCTGGTGTTGATGATGATGTTAGCTGGTGTTGATGATGATGTTAGCTGGTGTGATGATGATGTTAGCTGGTATTGATGATGATGTTAGCTGGTGTTGATGATGATGTTAGCTGGTGTTGATGATGATGTCAGCTGGTGTTGATGATGATGTTAGTTGGTATTGATGATGATGCTAGCTGGTATTGATGATGATGTTAGCTGGTGTTGATGATGATGTTAGCTGGTGTTGATGATGATGTTAGCTGGTGTTGATGATGTTGTTAGCTGGTGTTGATGATGATGTTAGCTGGTGTTGATGATGATGCTAGCTGGTATTGATGATGTTGTTAGCTGGTGTTGAAGATGATGTTGTTAGCTGGTGTTGATGATGATGTTAGCTGGTATTGATGATGATGTTAGCTGGTATTGATGATGATGTTAACTGGTGTTGATGATGTTGTTAGCTGGTGTTGATGATGTTGTTAGCTGGTGTTGATGATGTTGTTAGCTGGTGTTGATGATGATGTTAGCTGGTATTGATGATGATGTTAGCTGGTGTTGATGATGATGTTAGCTGGTATTGATGATGATGTTAGCTGGTGTTGATGATGTTGTTAGCTGGTATTGATGATGATGTTAGCTGGTGTTGATGATGATGTTAGCTGGTGTTGATGATGATGTTAGCTGGTGTTGATGATGATGTTAGCTGGTGTTGATGATGATGTTAGCTGGTGTTGATGATGATGTTAGCTGGTGTTGATGATGATGTTAGCTGGTGTTGATGATGTTGTTAGCTGGTGTTGATGATGATGTTAGCTGGTGTTGATGATGATGTTAGCTGGTGTTGATGATGATGTTAGCTGGTGTTGATGATGATGTTAGCTGGTGTTGATGATGTTGTTAGCTGGTGTTGATGATGATGTTAGCTGGTGTTGATGATGATGTTAGCTGGTGTTGATGATGATGTTAGCTGGTGTTGATGATGATGTTAGCTGGTGTTGATGATGATGTTAGCTGGTGTTGATGATGATGTTAGCTGGTGTTGATGATGATGTTAGCTGGTGTTGATGATGATGTTAGCTGGTGTTGATGATGATGTTAGCTGGTGTTGATGATGATGTTAGCTGGTGTGATGATGTTAGTGTATTGATGATGATGTTAGCTGGTGTTGATGATGATGTTAGCTGGTATTGATGATGATGTTAGCTGGTGTTGATGATGATGTTAGCTGGTGTTGATGATGATGTTAGCTGGTGTTGATGATGTTGTTAGCTGGTGTTGATGATGATGATGTTAGCTGGTGTTGATGATGATGTTAGCTGGTATTGATGATGATGTTAGCTGGTGTTGATGATGATATTGATGATGATGTTAGCTGGTATTGATGATGATGTTAGCTGGTATTGATGATGTTAGCTGGTATTGATGATGATGTTGCTGCTACTCGCAACTGCTTTTCCAGGTTTGCTCCGAGATTTCTTGAATTTCCAGTCATGCGGTTGCCTTGGCAGGGCCAGACCCAAATGATTTCGCGGGCCTCATACGGCCTGACGTTCCCCACGGCTGTGGAACAGCGTCAAGGTGTTGGGATCGCTGCCACGCGTGGCCCGTGATGATGCCACGGGATGTAGGGAGAAGCGATGATTTTTAAATCCTTTATATTAAGTTCACTCGCTTGCTTGCTTGCGCGCTTACGACCGTGCAAATCTTTCGGTCGTTTTTTAACCCACTTCCCGTGATCCAATCGAGCTGACATTTTGCACACAGACTTCGTTGTGCGTGACGATGTATTTTCGTGAAAAAAAATTCCAAAATTTTACACTTTTTTGGTAATTTTTTTTTTATATTTAATTACCAATTGCTTAATGGTGCAATTGCAATCATCTGACCCATAGGTGGCAGCCATCTCAAGCCAGAGGACGAGAGGACTCTAGCCGCCACGCATATAAAGGATTTAGAGTGAAAAACTTTGTTTTTACGGGTTAATTTTGTGTCTGTCTGGGTGACTTTGCCGAGAGAATCAGAGAGGAAGCCATGCACAGTCACGAAATCCAGCAGCGGGCTTCTAAAGCGGATTCTGTAGCTGTCGTCTCTACGATGGATGTCGTTCACTATCACCACCACCACCAGCACCACCAGCACCACCACACGCACCACCAGCACCACCACCAGCACCACCTGCACCACCACCAGCATACGCATCACCCCCCACCACCACCACCCCCCGACCCCCCCCCACCCCCCCCGACCCCCCCACCATCCCCCCGCACCACCCCCCACACCCCCCCCACACCCCCCCGCACCCCCCCACAACCATCCCCCCGACCCCCCCCCACACACCCACCACCACCCCCCCCCACACCCCCCCCCGACCCCCCCACACACCCCCCACCACCCCCCCCCCCACACACCCCCCACCACCCCCCCACCACCCCCCCCACCACCCCCCCCACCCCCCACCCCCCCCCACCACCCCCCACCCCCCCCACCACCCCCCCCCCCCCCCCCCCACCCCCCCCCCACCACCCCCCCCCCACCCCCCCGACCCCCCCCACCACCCCCCGACCCCCCCCACCACCCCCCCGACCCCCCCCACACACCCCCCCGACCCCCCCCCGCACCCCCATGTGTAACAATGATTCTCACTCGACACGATCACAAAGCGGCATTAAATGAGAAACGCGAGCCGAGCGTGCAACGCGCCACCACCACCACCGCCACCACAGCAGCAGCAGCAGAATGCAACAATTGCACTTTTAAAAGCAACGAGCGAACAAACAACAACAAAAAATATTAGCAACCATCGCCACCGACGGCGGGTAGAGGGGGCGGGAAGGCCGAAGCCTTCGCACTTTCCTAACCGTCTCGCCTGTCACGGTCCACCGCGCCGGGTAGGGACGGCCAGGCATAGGGGGTGGTTGACCCTCGGAACGATTTCAATCAAACGAAAACGCCGAGGTGACGAGCAAAAAAAAAACGAACGCGCACGAAAAACCAACGAAGCAAAAGCACGTTCGCTCGTGCGGTGAACAAAAAAAAACGAGCGAAGATTAACGCGAAAAAAAATTAACGAAAAATTAAAATCCACGCTGAATCCGCCGCTTCACCTGAGGAGACGCGACGACTGGAGACGCCACAGACGCACGCAGAAGATTGCGCGCGAGTCGGCCCGTGACGTCACGTGTTGTTGGGGGGAGGATGACGTCACGTGTTGTTGGGGGGCGGGTGACGTCACGTGTTGTTGGGGGGCGGTGACGTCACGCGAGCGCACGCCCCCACGCGCCTCTGTCTCCGCCTCCCCGCGCGGGGGCGAGGGGTGACGTCACGTGTTGTTGGGGAGCGGTGACGTCACGCGCGCACGCGCCCACGCGCCTCTGTCTCCGCCTCCCCCCGCGCGCACAAAGGCGGGGGGGGGCGGGGCTGGGGGCGTGGCCGGGGGCGAGGGGTGACGTCACGTGTTGTTGGGGAGCGGTGACGTCACGCGCGCACGCGCCCACGCGCCTCTGTCTCCGCCTCCCCCCGCGCGCACAAAGGCGGGGGGGGGCGGGGCTGGGGGCGTGGCCGGGGGCGAGGGGTGACGTCACGTGTTGTTGGGGAGCGGTGACGTCACGCGCGCACGCGCCCACGCGCCTCTGTCTCCGCCTCCCCCCGCGCGCACAAAGGCGGGGGGGGGCGGGGCTGGGGGCGTGGCCGGGGGCGAGGGGTGACGTCACGTGTTGTTGGGGGGCGGGTGACGTCACGTGTTGTTGGGGAGCGGTGACGTCACGCGCGCACGCTTACACCTCCCCCCCGGGAGCGAGGGATGACGTCACGTGTTGTTGGGGAGCGGTGACGTCACGCGCGCACGCGCCCACGCCTCTGTGGGCGGGGCTGGGGGCGTGGCCGGGAGCGAAGGGGATGACGTCACTCGGAATCGGAATAGTGGAATTTTTTGACTGAAAACTGTGGTAGTTGCAGCAATTAATATTCTTGGTTTTCTTTCGGTAAAGTCATGTGGATAGAAAATAAATATGTTAAACATATTTATATCTCCGCCTGAAACGTCGTGGGTTTTTTTTCTTTTGTTAATTTTAATTTACGTATTATTTTTTTACATTTTTTATTTTATTTTTTATTTTCTGTCTACGTGACTTTACCGAAAGGTCTTTATTTGAAGCTTTCGTGACTGCAGGGATCCATACTCTTTGGTTCTTTCGGTAAAGTCACGTAGGTGGAAAAATAAATAAAATAAAACGATTTTTTTTTTTCGCAACACAACAGGCGGAAAAAATAATCCAGCAGTGATATTTTATTTTATATGAAGCGTTCGTGACTGAATAAATCCATACTCTGTGGTTCTTTAGGTAAAATCACGTAGGTAGAAAAATAAATAAAATAAAACAAAAATAATTCATCGCAACACAACAAGCGGAAAAAAATAATCCAGCAGTGATATTTTATTTTTATGAAGCGTTCGTAACTGAATAAATCCATACTCTGTGGTTCTTTCGGTAAAATCACGTAGGTAGAAAAATAAATAAAATAAAACGAAAAAAATAATAAATCACGACGTTTCGATCGCAACACAAGCAACCGTCATCAGGCGGAACCGATCAAAACGTCGTGATTTTTTTGGTTTTTATTTTATTTATTTTATTTCTACCTACGTGACTTTACCGAAAGCAACAAAGAGTATGGATCCCTGCAGTCACGAAAGCTTCAAATCAAGATCTTTCAGTAAAGTCACGTAGATAGAATTTTAAAAAATACAAATATTTAAAATAATATGTACATTAAAATTAACAAAAGCAAAAAAATATAGTAATAGGTTTTTACCCTTTCAACTGGTACAAAAACTGACACCTTTATACAAGGCATCATGTTTGCTATAACCACAACATAAGCAGTCAAAATGCAAACAAAAAAAGTTTTTGTACCAGTTGAAAGGGTAAAAACCTCCTACTATATTTTGCCACTGGTAAAGGAGGTGTCTCATAGTGTAAATGCTTACCCCGAGCTCTCAATACTCTGATAGTGCGCTGTCTTTGAGTTGTGCGCCTTTTGGCGTCATCTGGTCCAACACCATGTGAGACTAGGCTCTAAGGAAAGCTGTCTCGGGTGTGGACCAATCACGTCCAAGGACAGTGCATACATTATCATCATCAGAGTTGTTTATTTTTGTTTGCATTTTGACTGCTTGTGTTGTGGTTATTGCAAACATGATGCCTTGTATAAAGGTGTCAGTTTTTGTACCAGTTTAAAGGGTAAACACCTATTACTATATTTTTGCCACTGGTAGGAGATGTCTCATAGTGTAAAAGCAAAAAAAAATCACAACGTTTCGATCGCAACACAAGCGGTCTTCATCAAGCGGAGATATATATGTGTTTAATATTTTTTATTTTATTTTCTATCTACGCGAGTTTACCGTTAGAACCAAGAATGTCATCGAGAATATTCATTTACAAATTATTTGGGTCTTTCGGTAAAGTCACGTAGATAGGTTCAAAACTAATTTTTTTTAAACTACGACATCATGGGACCTTTGCCACTACCAAAACATGCGAATAGGTTTTGCTTGTGAAAGGTTTCAGTTTGGTGTTTTAACATCTTAACACCTTTGATTCAAAGCTTTCGTGACTGCAGGGATTCATCGTCTTCTTCTTTCGGTAAAGTCACGTAGAAGGGAAATAATAAAATAAAATATTTTTAATATTTTTATACATTTATATTATTTATCTTTTCATTATTTTATTATTTCCCTTCTACGTGACTTTACCGAAAGAACCACGAATATCTTAACACAGCTGTTTTGTTGCCAGATGAAATGGGAAAAACCTATTCTCAAAAATCGTTTTAGTTTTTTCCCCACCTGATGATCATTGCATGTGTTGCGATCGAAACGTCGTAGTTTTTTATTAATTTTTTCTTTTTTTAGAACCTACCCACGTGACTTTACCGAAAGACCCAAAGAATAGCAATTATTGCAGTCACGAAAGCTTCAAGTCGTTTATTAACAAATTAGCTTTGCACTCAGAATCATCGGAATCATCGGGAATATTTATTTGGACTGCCGGAGGAGTATTCCGAAGAGCGATAAAGCATGGGCATAATATGACTTTGAAAACCCAACGCCCACCTCCTACGCATTTCACAAGTAGCACTAGTCGCATTCCTGCATTTCCCATAAATATGCTAAATTCCTCTTGATATGCAGATTCTTTTGTCAAGGCGCATTTCCCCCCCCCCCTTCCGACCCAGCTTAAATAGACGCTCCAAGCGTGGTGGTGTTTCATTTAGACGCTGTCGCCTCGACAGACCTGGTCTTCACCTAAAGACGGCTGCTTGCGTTGTGGCCGAAACGTCGTGAGAATTATTTTATTATGTTTTATTTTTATTATTTTATTACTTCCCTTCTACGTGACTTTACCGACAAAACCAAGAAGATGACTCCCTGCAGTCACGAAAGCTTTAAATCGAAACATCACCCAAACACAAACAAATACAACACTAAGCCATCCCCATCCTACCAGGCTAAGCCCCACTGAGGTATTAACTGATGATTTCGTATTTACTTATTTCTAAGTTTTGAAAACTCTAAACACATTTTATTTCACCAGGTTTTAAAGTCACGTAGGTAAAACATCGAAATTAATAAAAGTAAAATAAAATAAAAATCACTGGATATTATTATTGTGAGGTTGTCTCGGGTGTGAGCCTACCTTGGCTCTCCCACCCTCAACCAGTACATATGTAGTGGTGGTATTGACGTGCGCCGGCAGTGATGGATCACGGGGCGCGGGGTTGGGCACGCGATGTGGGCGTGGCATGGACGCGCGCGCCGGTGGTGAGGCGCGCTCACACAAGCTGGGAAAAGAGGATCGTAGCGAGTGCGCAGTGATTGGTCAGATAAGTGGGTACTCTCAGCGACGTCCGCAGGAGGGGTATAAAGGGGGACGCGCGAGAGCACTCGTGGTCAGTGTTAACCAGTTGAAGACCGAAGACGGGGTGGAGGAGGTAGGGGCCCTGTGTGGCTCGGAGCCGAGACTGGGGGGACCATAGTCCGACGCCCGTGTGGGTCGGGACGGTGGTACCCAGAGCCGAGACGGGCACCCCGGCTGGGTGTGTCCCGGAAGGCTACAGGGCGTAAGAGCCCGTGTCAGTACAGCTGAGTGGGTGTTGGTCACCCGTGTAGCTGAGTGGGTGTTAGTCACCCGTGTAGCTGAGTGGGTGTTGGTCACCCGTGTAGCTGAGTGGGTGTTAGTCACCCGTGTAGCTGAGTGGGTGTTGGTCACCCGTGTAGCTGAGTGGGTGTTAGTCACCCGTGTAGCTGAGTGGGTGTTGGTCACCCGTGTAGCTGAGTGGGTGTTAGTCACCCGTGTAGCTAAGTGGGTGTTGGTCACCCGTGTAACGAAGTAGGGTGTTAGTCATCCGTGTAACTACAAGTTGGCGAAAATAAAGAGTGTGCTACCCGTGAAGTCGTCTCCTGCCGAGTTACTACTTTACACATATACAAGGACTGTTTTCTTGGAATTTCTCACTCACTTGATACAGCTGTCGTGCTGTGACGGTTCCACCTGAAGACGGAAGCTTGTGTTGCCTCCGAAACGTCGGGATTTTTATTTTATTTTACTTTTATTAATTTTAATGTTTTACCTACGTGACTTTACCGAAAAAAACATAAGAATACAAATCCTTGCAGTCACGAAAGCTTCAAATCTAGAATGATTTTTATTTTACTTTTATTATTTTTTTACCTACGTGACTTTACCGAAAGCCCCTAAGAATATGAATCTTTGCAGTCACGAAAGCTTCAAATCTAGAGTTTTAAGGCCCCACTGAGATACGTAGCTCTGTTTCAGCAGCCACCACCAGGCTTATCACAAGTGACAGAAGCTCAAACACGTGACGTCTTATTGTCATCATCGTCATCATTGTCGTTGCGTGGAAATTCATAGCAGAAGCCAAATACTCAAAACGCAACTTCTCCACAGACTCATAGAGACCCATAGAAAGGTAAACAAATCACTCAAATCTTCTTGGTTCTTTCGGTAAAGTCATGTAGAAGGGAAGTAATAAAATAATAAAAATAATAAAACATAATAAAATAATTCTCACGACGTTTCGGCTACAATGCAAGCAGCCGTCCTCAGGTGAAGAATGAGACACTGCCAAGCTTGGAGCTTATATTTAAGCTGGGTTGGAGGTGGAAGAAGAGCGCCTTAACAAAATAATT